AGTTGATGGAGTAAAAGGGGTCTAGTCTAATATGTTGTGACAGAAATAAATCTAACTATGGGTGGTGAACATACAATGCAAAATATATATGACTTACTGTTGAATTGTAAAAAGAAAAAAAAAAGAAAAGAAAAAAAAAGTCAGTGCAGTGTGTTCCCTGAATTTCTTCCCAGGTTGAGAAATTAGAATACAGTTTGGTAGCCAAGCACACTTTTTAAAGTTATGGTCTCATTTGAATGACTTCTCATGGATTATATGGATTTTTTTATTCAATAGGTGTCTTCTGATTTTTACCACTAGAGCGACTGGTTCATGTCTTTCTCATGAACTGACAGCATTAGACATCAGTACTTATCACAAGGAGAGATGATTGTGTAATGAGTAAAAATAATAAAAGTATAAGTTCAGTTGGTCTTATCTTCTTAATAGACACCCTTTGCCTGAAATGATTCTTTCTGTAAAATGGAAATTCCAAAGCAAAGTAGCTATATGGGGACCAGAAAATAGATGTTTTACTTAGGAATCTAAAAATTGTAATTGTAATAAGAGAATATTTAGGCATTATTTTTTAAAAGAGAGCCAAATTATATAATTCCTATTGATTATTATCATTCTTATTACCAGAAATAGGATAAAGGTACTATTGTTTAACTTTTTTCAATGCTATATAAAAAAATCATTTATATCATATTATTTGTAAGAATGGGACAATCCTCACTCAAATTTTATCCAAAGTTTGGACATTCACTTAGCATTAAAGGACTTTTATTAAGCACTTTCCCGTGCACTTGATATTTAATTGTTATTAGTCTGTATTTAAAATAAATTAGCATTTGGTGCTTTTTGAGAGCTTTGGAGGAAAGATGTTATAACTCTGGTGTTCCCCATCTCTGCACTTCCTAGTTTTGGTATCTTGGACAAACTAACTTCTTTTTGTAAGCTGCAATTCCCTCATTTTAGTTGGGATAATACAATTGCATATCTCATATTGTTTTAAACATTAAATGAGGTAATTTTATTTTATATGCATCACAGTGACTGGTAGAAAGTCCTCAAAAAATAAAATTTATCATTTTTAAATTTCTTCTAATTATTCTGAAGGTGATTAAGATATCAAACAACGGGAGCTATTGCTAGGAATGGCATCATCTCTTTGGGAGAAGTATGAGACAAGAATTTCTAACATGAATACATTCTTAACGTGTTCTTGAAGAATACTAGTTGGTCAAAAATGTGATCTGAGGACAATTCATATTTATATCCTGACAATACCATCTGTAGGCTGCTAAATGTCAATTCCCTGGCATACAGGTATTATGGAGAATTGAATTTTAGGTCTTTAAAAAAGAAGATAGGCTATTGAATTTCTTAGGTGTTTTTCTGAAGAGATCTAGTTACAAGACTCTGGTCTACTCAAAGTTTTAAGCTGCATGTAATAGGTCATGATGACTTCATCATGAATTTGGTGAATGGCTCACTGATATATACATTGATTGGAAGTTCTTTTTTTTGAAAGACGGAGGGTTCTTTTTAAATATTTTTTTGTGGCAAAGTAAATAATAGTGAGGAGAAAAAAATTAGGTGAACATTTTCTCAATGTTTCTCGTTTCAAGTTAACTCAGTGTTGGTATTGTCTGACACTGATTTGCTTTAAATTCATTGTGGTTATAGCACTAAAAGATTTATTTCTCAAAAGTAGCCTTCTAAATTCCATAAAATGTGAAAACTGAAGATTGATGGTAGGGACATATATCAAATATTAAAGTATAATCTGCATCTATGACTAGATATTTCAATTTCAATTATTAAAATATATGTTTAATAATTTATCTTAAAATATAGGAACAAACATACTTCCTTTTAAAATGAGAAGATAAATATTAGAAATACTTGCTTGAAACAATGTCTAGTAAGGGGTTAAATTTGGAAATAATTTGTTTACAATCTTAAAAATTCCTGATATTCTCCGAGAATTTTCCAGTAGCATTCAGTAGCATTTCTTACATTTCTTTAGCCTATGTGAGTCTCCTTTTTATACTTGCAGTGGAAACAACATGAGCTGAAAAGCACACTTTTTCAGGTTTATTCCATTTTCCATAAACTGCTGTAGAAGTGTCAAAGAGACTCATTAAATGAAAAATTGTTTTGTATGGTTTTCTGTTGTAGTTTGTGCTTTGGTCTTCTCTGAAGATGTAATTAGGTTTCTATATCTGTGTGTCTAGATCATTTTTATTTTTCCCACCAATTTAATTATCACTCAATTAAGTTCTTGTCATTACTTTTCATTCATTTGTTTATTTTTGCTTAAATTTTTTTTAACATATTTGCCTGAGGGGCTTGGATATGAAACAATTTGAATTTTGATTTATATATATA